AAATAAATAAAATCTTAAAAAAAAAAAAAGAAATAGTTTTATTGAGATATAATTCACATACCGTACATAGAGGGGCCATACATATAGAATGTAGGATTTGTGGCTTTTAGTATATTCAGAGGTGTGCAACAGCCACCACGGTCCAGATTTTGGATATTTCCAATCCTCCCCAAATCCCTCACGTCCTTTTGCAATTCATCTGTTTCCATTTCCCAGCCCTGGGCCACCACTGATCTGCTTTCTGTCTCTCTGAATTTGCCTGGTTTGGACTTTCGGTATACACAGAATCATACACCATACGGTCTTTCTCATCCGGCTTCTTTCACTCGGCACCATGTTCTCAAGGTTCATCCACATTGTAGCATGTCCGAGTTGTGTTCCTTTTCATGGCTGAGTAATAGTCCATTGTATGGATGGACCACATTTCGTTTTTCCGTTTACCTGTCGATGGATATTTGAGTTTTTCCCACTTTTTGGCTGTTATAGATAATGCTGCTCTGAACATTTGTGTACAGGTATGTGTGAGGCTGGACGTGTTCATTTCTCTTGGATGTGGCATTCCTGGGTGTGGGATTAAATAGACTGCCCACATAAGAGTGAGCAAAGTCTATTTATTCGGAGCTTGCTGTAGCAAGGGAATCAGCCACCATCACCCCCACTTGGCAGCTCGAAGCTTTATCGTGAGAAAGAGGAAAGGCTTCAGGTGTGCCCCTGCTGGAGACTGCAGGTGTGGGGAAGCCGTGGGCACCTAACTAGAAGGGGAGCATCCCGTAAGATTGGTTAGGGGTGCATATTTGGTTTTCTCATTTGGTTCTAAGAAGTAAAGGCAAAATGGGACATATGGTTGGCTCAGTAGGTAGAGCATGTGACTCTTGATCTTGGAGTCATGAATTTGAGCCCCACCTTGGGGATAGAGTTTACTTAAAAATTTTTTTTCTTAAAAAGGCATGCCTGGGGGTGCCTGGGTGGCACAGTCGGTTGGGCATCTGACTCTTGGTTTTGGCTCAGGTTGGGATCTTGTGGTCGTGGGATCGAGCCCCACGTCGGGCTCTGCACTCAGCTCAGAGTCTGCTTGAGAAGCTCTCTCCCTCTCCCTCTGCCCCTCCTGCTAGTGCACACGTGCGTTCTCTCTCTTTCTGAAATAAATAAATAAATCTTTAATGAAATAAAATAAAAAGGGGTGCTTGGCTGGCTCAGTCAGTAGAGTAAGCGACTGTTCATCTTGGGCCCATGAGTTTGAGCCTTATGTTGGGTGTAAAGATGACTTAAATAAAAAAATAAATCTTAAAAAAAAAAAAGTAGGGACAAAAGTCTTAGAAGTTGTCAGTTATTAAGTCCTGGCCATTTGGGGCTGGTTGTTATGGGGGTTTGTCTTCCTACTAGTTGCTAGACATGGGGGTCAGACTTCCTTCAAGGCTCGTAGATAATGGGTTGGCCATTTTTCTATATGGTCCGGCCATGGTCTGTTTGTCTATTCAGGGGTAACTAAGTTTAGCCATTTGAGAAACTCCCAGACTGTTTGCCAAAGCGGCCGCGTGACTTCACATTCCCATGTATGTAGAGTCTGGAGGTCCTCTGCCTCTCTGGGGCCTCCAGCCCTGGACCCTTGTCATCCCTTCTGCTGGTTGTGGCCCTTGCCTTAATTCTCTGGCTTACTGAGTAATGTTGTCCAAAGCTGTTTCTGGAAGTGGCTTGTTTGCCAGGCCCCCATCTGGGTCCTGAGGTAGAGGTCAAATGGGGGCGTTCTGTGCCCCGGGAGCAGAGGCAGGTGTGAGTGCTCCAAAGCAGGGGTGACTGGGTTCAAATCCCTGCCCCGCTGTCTGCTGGAGGGCAATCATCTTACTCCCGGAGACATGCTACATATCCAGCAAGGGATCCAGTGACCCACAGCGCAGGTTGGCCGTGTCACTGCTTGTCCCCCTGGGCCTCCAGCAGCTGGAGCATCCTGTGCTTCAGATGTGTTTTTGAGAGTCGTTCCTCGAAGCCACTCTAACCCCGAGTGAGCACCATTCTGTGTGCTTCCTGCCTCCAGATCCACGGCTCCCAGGACTTCGACATCTGTGTGAAGGACATGATCCCCGCCGATGTCCCCGAACACTTCCGGGGCACCGTCAGCATCTGGGCCACAGTGACCAGTGTGGACGGGAGCCAGCAGGTGGCATTTGACGCCTCCACCCCTGTCCAGAGGCAGCTGGTGGACGTCCGCTACTCCAAGGACACTAGAAAGGAGTTCAAGCCGGGCCTGTCCTACGTGGGGAAGGTAAGCGCTGGGGACGGCGCCCAGAGGGGGACATCCGAGGGCTCAGGCTCTGCACTGCCTCCGCCCCAGCTCCGTTCGAGGACCACCATGAACCCAGTGTGGTGGCGCCGTGGGTCCGCAGTGGGGACGCTGCTGAAGACAGCGTCCTTTAATTGCACCGTGTAACCTTTGCTCTCGGGGGACCGAGGGCTGTATTGCCGATATGGCAAGAGCTGGTACCCCACATGATCCCAGGGTCCTGGGATCGAGTCCCGCATCGGGCTCCCTGCTCAGCGGGGAGCCTGCTTCTCCCTCTGCCTCTCTCTCTCTGTCTCTTATGAATAAATAAATTAAATTAAAAAAAAAAAGAGCCAGTACCCCAGGGTGAGGAACACTGGACATTTTGCTCCATCTAAAAGGGTGGTCTACTTTATTCAACATAGAGAGACATGCCTGTACCTACAGACCAAGACCTGGTATATCCATTTATTAGTCAGTTTCTTTAAGGCAGTGCGTTTCTTATCTGGGTTGACTTTATTTTTGGAGGAACTAGCATCCAAGGAAATGCTCCCAAAGGCAGATCTCCTGTCCCTGAGAGAGACTGATTCAGACCCCCTGGGGGAAAGTGGCATTTTGAATAGGCCCACCTATTCAATGCCACCTACCATGGCATTCTTAGACTCGGTCAGGTTTTAGATGACCAGAAACCCAAGATCCTTATCCTTTTTTTTTTTTTTAAAGATTTTATTTATTTATTTGAGAGAGAGAGAATGAGAGACAGAGAGCATGAGAGGGAGGAGGGTCAGAGGGAGAAGCAGACTCCCTGCCGAGCAGGGAGCCTGATGCGGGACTCGATCCCGGGACTCCAGGATCATGACCTGAGCCGAAGGCAGATGCTTAACCAACTGAGCCACCCAGGCGCCCCAAGATCCTTATCCTAATTGTTGCACTGGGCATTTGTGTTCTGTGGGGGCAAGGCCAGTGGTGCCCAGGTTACCCCAGAGGGAAGCTGGCTATACGCCTGACCCTAGCTCTGTGCACCACCCACATCCCTGGCCCCTCTTGCCTTCCGTGGGTCACTCACAGGATCCTGGTGGTCTGTCCTCATGCTGTGTCCTGCTACTTCCACTCCGTTCTGAGACCTCCTTCCTCTCTATGCCCGATCCCAGCCACAACCTGTGTGCCCCTGGCTTTGGGGGTCCCAGCTTGCAGAGAAGCTAAAGCACAAGGAGCAAGGTCAGAATGTGTATGAAGAAGGGGTTTGGGCTGTCAGATCAACGAAGGGGAGCATTTCACGTACGGCTGAGAGATTATCCACCATCTGCATTAAAGAACAGAGCTGTAAGTGGGGATCATGTAGGCTGAAGCCCCCGTCACTCTGTCACCAAATATCTGCACGGGTGAGGGGCTACTCTAGGGTCCTTCAGGGCCCACGGACCATATTTCTTTCATACCATCCTTGACTTCTTTTTTTTTTTTTAAGATTTTATTTGTCAGAGAGAGAGAGAGAGAGCACACAAACAGGGGGAGTGGCAAGCAGAGGGAGAGTGAGAGGCAGGCTCCCCGCTGAGCAGGGAGCCCGACGCAGGACTCAATCCCAGGACCCTGAGATCATGACCTGAGCCAAAAGCAGACGCCACCCAGGCATCCCTCTTTTTTTTTTTTTTTTAAGATTTTATTTATTTGTGGGGGTGGCAAGCACACTGGTGCATGCGCACATGTGGAGAGGAGGGGCAGAGGGAGAGAGAGAAGCAGACTTCCCACCGAACACAGAGTCCAGTGCGGGGCTCGATCCCACCATGCCGAGATCATGACCTGAGCCAAAGGCAGACGCTTAACCCACTGAGTCCCAGGTGCCCCACCATCCCTGTCTTCCAAACCCCTTGTTCTGACTGCCTTTTCTACCCATCTGAATGAGGTCTGAGCATCACATGGAACTGTTCATAGCATTGTCCATGCTGTTCCCACCCCAATGTGGCACCAGGCCAATGGCCAACACGTGGTGATTCCTACACTGTGATTTGAACATGGAGACCGTTGGGATAGAATTCAGAGTGCAGAAATAAATCCACAACCTGGAAAGATACTGAGTCCCTGTGCGCTCCCCTGACCGATTGCCTAGGATACCCCACTTCCAGTTAGCCACCTACAGCTTCTTCACACCAGTAGCCTCCAACTGGGACACACCTGAAGCCTTCCCTGTTTCTCGCTATAAGGCTTTCTCACTTCACCTGCATTTGAGCCTCTGCCAAACACCAGTGACGGTGGCTGTGACTCCTTGCTACAGCAAGCTCTGAATAAATATAGCCTTTGCTCGTTCTTTTTCGGGTGGTCTTCATTTAATTCCACACCATGTGGCCCAGGAGGCCCACTTCACCCTGCAGCACTGGGCTAACGGCCAGCACACGGTGACTCCTACCTTGTGACTTATTTGCCAGGTCCAAGGTCACGAAAGTCCTCCCACCCCGCCCCGCCATTGTCTAAGTGTTTCAGAGTTCTAGCTCTTAACTTTAGGTCTATGATCCATTTTTAACTTTTGTAGATGATGGTGTGAGGTAGGGGTTCACCTTCATTCTTTTGCGTGTGGGCATCCAGTCATCCCAGCCGCATTTGTTGAGGAGACTGTTCTTTCCCCATTGGAGGTCTTATGCCCTTGTTGAAAACCAATTTGCCATGGATGTGTGGGTTTATATCTGGACTCTCAGTTCTATCCCATTGATCACCATGTCTCTTCTGTGCCAGTACCACGTTATCTTGACTATTGTAGCTTCCTAGTAAATTTTGAAATTGGGACACATGAGTTCTCCTTTGTTCCTCTTTTTCATGATTATTTTGGTTATTTGGGGATCCTTGCAATTCCTTGTGAATTTTAGCATCAGCTTGTCAATTTCTGGGAAGTTGGCTGGGATTCTGATGGGGGATTAGATAAGTTTGGGGAGTGGTGCTGCCCTGACTGTGTTGAATCTTTGGTGACCCCTTCCAGGTGGAGCTGTCCTACCCTGATGGCAGCCCAGCTGAGGGGGTGACGGTCCAGATCAGGGCAGAGCTGACACCGAAGGACAACATCTACACCATCGAATCTGTATCCCGGGGAGGGCTGGTGGGGTTTGAAATCCCCTTCATCCCCATGTCAGCCCAACACGTGTGGCTGGAGGTGGGTGAGTTGCTTGGATCCTTGTCATTGAGCCACCAGACACAGCCTTGGTGCCTTCCCCAGTCCATGCTTGGGCAACAGCTCAGTGGACCTGTGGCCTACTGCTGCCCTGAGGGAGTTTACAGTCTTTGATGGGGAGTTTGGGGGATGGATAACCAGCCCATCCCAGGGCAAGATGGGAGGTCAAGGAGAGGTGAGGTCTTCTGGCTCTGCCATGCTGAAGGAGGCTGGCCCAAAGGGATTTCATCATGTGGACTCCTGACTTTGAAGAGGGTCATCCGGGCTGCTTCTGAGAGGGTGGAACAGCATGCAGAGGCCCAGAGGCCCTCCATCATCGTGTAATTGGGTCCTGCAAGGCCCAGCCAAGCTGAGCCCTTCAGGAAGATACAGAGGAGGGAGCTGGTGGGGTGCCCCTGACCTCACACGGGTGCTTGGGGCTTACCCAGAAGGCAGCATCAGGGGGACAGAGTGATCTGATTTTGGATACCCAGCAGTTGCTCCAGTGACCATAATGGGGGGATACCTGGGGGTGGGAGCACAGGTGGGCAGACAGGAGGTGATGACAGAGAGACCAGTGAGCCTGGAGCTGTGAAGGTAGAATGGGCAGGACATGGGGTCCCGTTGTCAGGGGAGGGAGGAGCAGGAGTGATAGAAGAGGGTGTCCCAGCACCCCCCACCCCTGGCTCTGTGACGGCCCCACGGGCGCTGGATGGCAGGGAAGGGGTGGGGGGCCGCCTAGAGTAAATGTGTAGGTGGGGGCCAAGGACACTTGGGGTGACTGTGTCCTCTGTGGGGCGACATGTCCTTAAAGACTTTTAACCATCCAAGTTGCAAGCTCGAGGGTCTCCAGGCTACAGCCCTCCAACTGGCTACAAAATCATTATTACAATTACAGCTTTTTTTTTTAATGATCAAAAGTCATTCCTTTATTTCCATTAGTCCCCTAGCAATTAAGTAGCAGCAAAGCCCCGAAATACTACAAATACCAGAATTAGCTGAAAAATTTTCTGTCTCATAGATACATGTCTAAAAATGAGCTTGTCCCAAAAATGTCGCTTTAATAGAAAGATACTCTGTTTCTGTTACTAAACACTGCTTAGGAAAAGGTCTTTAATTCTCTTAAACACAAAACTAATTATAAATATTAATTATTTTTACTTTTTTACTTTTTAATTTTTTAAAAGATGTATTTATTTATTTTAGAGAGAGTGCATGAGCTGGGAGGAGGAGCAGAGGGAGAGGGACAAGCCAACTCCGCGCTGAGCGCAGAGCCCGATGTGGGGCTCGATTCCAGGACCCCGAGATCATGACCTGAGCCAAAATCAATTCGGACGCTTAACTGACGGTGCCACCCAGGCGCCCCTAATTATTTTTAACTGAGGTGTAATTGACACATCGCTGTGTGTTTGTTTCGGGCGGACAACATGAGTCCGTATTTGCACGTGTTGTGAAACAGTCACCACAGTAAGTGTGGTCAATGGGCACCACACATCGTTACACATTTTTCTTTCCTTATCATGAGAAATTTGGAGATCTACTCTTAGCAACTTCCAAATATTCAGTACAGTATTGTTAACCATGGTCACCACGCTGAAGATGCCATCCCCAGGGCTTATTTTTTAACTGCAGGTTTGTATGTTTGGCGGTCACAGTTTTATTACAGCGATGTGGCAGATTAGGACCAGCCAAAGAGAGCAAGGGAGGGCCGCCCGGGTGGCTCAGTCGTCAAGCGTCTGCCTTCGGCTCAGGTCATGATCCTGGGGTCCTGGGATCGAGCCCCGCGTTGGGCTCCCTGCTCAGTGGGGAGTCTGCTTCTCCCTCTGCCACTCCCCCTGCTTTTGCTCTGTCAAATAAATAAAATCTTAAAAAAACAAAAAGAACAGGGCAGAGGGAGAAACCTGGGAGGGCCCCCCATTTGAAGCTTCTCGTGCTGTCCCTGTGGAGTCCCTGGGACACCCTACCCTCCCGGCTCGTGACGTGTGACGTGTGACAGTAGCCACAGAGAAGCACCAGCCAGGGGCATGCTATAGGCATGAGTCATTGGCTCTGCGACTAAACTCCGGTTCTAGCCAGAGCTCCCTCCCCGGAGGTCCGGCTGGTAGCACGAATCTCGAAGCCCCAGCCCCTTGTCCCTGTCCTGAGTCAGCTTGGTAACACGTGTTACCAAGACACACCGTGAATAACAGACACGCTCGTCACTTGGGAGACCTCAGGGCTTTAGAGGCTACCTCCCAGAAACTGGGGACAAAATGGGCCAACGTCTTTATTCTTGATCTCACAGAAGTCTTCGATCTGCACCTCTGGCCTCTCCCTTGTGTTGCCCTGTAGTCTTTCAGCAGCAAGTGAAGGGAACAGGCTCAAACTCCAAGGGAGCAAAAAGCAGTATAACGACCCCCACGGGGCTTGGTGGGCATGGAGGGGAAGGACTTGAGCTCAGGGAGCCTCAGGGTCCAGAGCCCCGGGGACGCTGTCCAACACAGCCACTCCTTCTCCGGTCCACCTTCTCTGTGGTCACTTCCCAGGCCTGTTAGCCCCTCTGAGAAGCCACCAGGGCCACTGGCAAGCCAGAGAGAGAAGGAGGGAGAGAAATGGGGATGGGGAGGGCTTCCTAATATGCCTGTGATAGAACTATCTCTTGGTGGCCACATGAGTCACCTGCCTCTGCCTGAGCCACCCCCTTACACCCTGTGACCAGTCTTGGCCACTTGCTTCCTGGAGCTGGGGAGCAGTGCATTAAGGCACATTGGACCGCAGTCTCTGAGAACTGGGGAGAGGGGTCCCCAAAGGCAAATTGGAACATGAGAGGGTCTTGCTGCAGGCCAGGGCAGGCAGAGGCATCCCCAAGACCCCCTTCCTCCACCAAGCACCCAGGCCTTGACCAAGTACCCTCTTTTCTTCAGACCAAGGTGGTAGCACTCAATGGAAAGCCCGTGGGGGCCCAGTACCTGCCCAGCTACCTGTCTCTCAGCAGCTGGTACTCCCCCAGCCAGTGCTATCTGCAGCTGCAGCCACCTTCCCGCCCCCTGCAGGTAAGGCTTTCAGGTGTCCCCCCCCCTCCCTTCCCCGGCAGGATGGGCCCAGAAAGCCATGAGCACGCACCTGGCATCTGCTCGTCCCCCAGCAGGGCTGATGCTGGTGCTGAAGCCAGAGCCCCCATCCCTCCAGCACGGGGCGGGGGGGTTCCTCGGGATGAGTGCCCGTCATTTAATTATAGTGAACATTTAGGCTGTGGCCCCAGTGTTTACTATGATAAACCTGGCCCTTGGGGTGCAGTCGCTTGCTCCCAGGCCCAGCTTCCCGCTGTCTGCAGCTGGCACTTGCTGGGCGCAGGCACCGGGGTTCCGCAGCCGACGCTTGCAGACACAGTACAGAGATGAGACAGCCCCAGAGCTGGGTCCCGTGTTCCTTCTTCCCGGTCTGTTCTTCAACAATCCTGCTTAAGTAAGATGCGCGGAGATGTGTGTGGAGATAGGGAGCTGTAAACATGGAGTAGAAAGTGCAGAGAGTTCCTCTGGACCCCCTCTCCTCTGCGTGCAGTGTCCCTGAAGATTAGCAGCTTGCCTTCGGGTGGCACGCCCATTACGGTTGATGAGCCAGTGTCCACGTGTCCTTATTGGCTAAAGTCTGCAGGGTACGTTAGGGGTCTCCTGCTACTGCAGATTCCGTGGGTTTGGACAAACATATAATGACATGCATCCAGCATTATAGTATTGTACAGAATGGTTTCACTGCCTTAAAAATCCTCTGGGTTCCCCCCAACCTGTTCATTCATCCCTCCATACCCACTAGCTCCTGGCAACCACCGATCTTTTCACTGTCTTTATTCTTCTGCCTTTTCCAGAATGTCGTATCGTGTTGGGAGAAGTGAAAACCCCTGGGGTTGTTTGAATCGGAGGCACAGTTTCAATAGACACGCACAAAGGAAGTCAAGTCACGAGATTTATTTACAGATCGCAGAGTGGGATGGGCGGGTTCCCAGTGAGCTGGGTCACCTCCATCCCAGGTCACAAGTGAGCAGGAGACAACAGGGCAGCAAGCACCGGTGACTCATAAGGTGGTTGAGGAGGAGTCACTAACATTTTGGGGGTCAGTGCTAAGTGGTTATTTTATTTTAAAGATTTTTATGTATTTCTTTGTCAGAGAGAGTGAGTGCATAAGCAGGCAGAGGGAGAAGCAGGCTCCCCGCTGAGCAGGGAGCCCGACGCGGGGCTCAATCCCAGGACCCTGGGATCGTGACCTGAGCCGCAGGCAGATGCCTAACCGACTGAGCCACCCAGGCATCCTGCTAAGTGGTTATTTTAAAAGACATGCGAGGAAAAGTGAAGCAGAAACTTGTGGCCAGAATCCTAAGCTCGGGTCCTCAACCCAGTATCCAGACTCAGGGTGTGAGCAGCTTGTCAGGGCATCAAATGCCCAGGTAGCAACTCAAAATAGCAGTTTTCCCATCCCACGTATAGAGTCGTCCCCCCTTAGCCACGGGGATACATCCCTGCCTCCCCAGTGGCTGACCGAAACTGCACATAGTACCAGACCCTACTTAGACGTTCTTTCCTATACATACGTACCTATGACACAGATTGACTTATAAATTAGGCACAGTAAGAGATTACCAACAATAATTCATAATAAAATAGAACCACCGTAATAATACACTGTAATAAGAGCCACGTGACTGTGGTTTCTCTCTCTCAAAATACACCGTACTGTGCCCACCCGGCTTGTGATCACAAGGTGATGGAATGTCTACATGAGGGGATGAAGTAAGGGGAATGACGCAGGTGTTGTGATGTGGCGTTAGGCTGCTTCCAGACCCCCATGGATGGCGGGTAACCGAAACCACGGATAAGGGGGACTGCTGTAGCTGGAACCGTACGGCACTTAGCTTTTTCACATTGCTTCTTTCTCTTAACAACACGCATCGAAGGTTCTGCCTTGTCTTTCCGTCATATGGTGTGGACAAATGGTAGTTTGTTCACCCCCTCATCTCTTGGAGGATAGATGTATAATAAAGCACCCTGATAGCTCCCTTAGCTAGAGGCTCCCCGACATTGCTCCCAGGCCTCACCAACCCCGTAAGCCTCTGGCATTCCCTTTCTGAGAGCCGCGGCCCGGACCCGAGGCGGCCAGGGATGCAGCTCAGAGGAATCCTGGCGCCGGGTCTGCCCGTTTCAGGGGCTTAGCGGCCCTCTGCAGGGGTTATGAGAATGAGAAAGCCATTCGAGATTGTGCCTGGCTTGGCTGAACACGCTGTTCTTGTTGTAATTAATGCTATTCAAGCAGCAGCGTGTTGTGGGGATGCTGGCCTTGGCTGCCATCCCACGGGGGCGGGAAGGAGCCCTGTGTCCCCAGCTGCTGGTACTGCAGTTCCTATTAGGCAGGGACTTGGTTGGGCCACTCGGACTTTCCTCTCGGAGGGACATCTCCATCCTGCCTGAGTCGGCCCAGCAGGCTCCAGCCCCTCCCCCCACGACTGTCACCGAGGGGCCCTGGGCGCAACCTCAGGGCATTGAGACAAGAGTGGCCCTGCTGGGTCCAGCCTGGGCTCTGTGTCAGGCTCCTTTACCCTTCCTCCAGCTCCGAGGCGCATGTAGTGGGGAGCTGCTCTGTGAACGGGGGCTGGCAAGCCAGTCTTTTAGGATTGCTGTGATACCATGGGGTTCGTTCGTGAAGAGGTGGAAGGTTTTGCTCTTTTCTTTTTTCCAACATCTGAAACGCAAGGGGACTTTTGTTTATAGGTGTCTTTTTATAAGGTGAATATTTACAAACTTAGAAATCGTAAAAAACGGTAAAACCATGTGCCTTTCACCTAGATTTATGAATTAACATTTTGCCTCTATCCATCCATCCTCCCACTCAACCAGCTCACTTGTCCACCTACCCACCCAACCAGCCATCCACCCATCCATCAATCCACCCATCCATCCACCCATCCACCCACCCAGCCATCCACCCATCCACCCATCCATCTACCCATCCATCCATCTACTCCTTTAGACTTTTTTTTTTTTGCGGCAACATTAGAAAATAAGTTACAGATATTATGATGCTTCACTCTTAAATACTTGATCATAACATGTCCTAAAAATAAGGACATTCTTCAGCATGATCTCAAGGCTCTTGTCGCATCTAAGAAAATTATGTTAAGATATTGTTTAATTCACAGGCAATATTCCGATTTTCAAAGATGTCCCCAAGGTGTAACTTATGTCTTGCGTGTGAACAACCCATGCACGTGTACATAATCTCATGCACACAAGTGTAAGCGTGCAACCATCTGCATGTGCCTATGGGAACGCGCGTGCACGTGTGCATGCCTGCATTTCATTCAGGATCAGTTTATGTGTTGCGTTTGGCTCTTCTGTGTCCATAGTTGCTCTTGATCTGGAACGGTCCCTGCCTCTGCCTTTTCATTGCCATGACGTTTGTGAAGAATTCAGGCCCGTGGTCTTGTAGATGATCCCACATTCTGAATTAGAATCAGGCAGAATTGCTACGTATGTGCTGCTCTTTTGGGGCCCTGGCAAGAGGCACAGATTGAGGACACCCCACTCTTGCTGGAGCTGATCATATCCTTGGGTTGGATCTAATTCCTCCCCAGCTCTTTCCCCTTGCAGGGGAAGCTGCTGAATAATGGGAGTGACAGTCTGAGGCTCATGCCACAATGTCCTTACCCCCAGCAACCTCCCCCCCGCCAGCATCACTGACAATCCTGGCTGTAATCCCTTATCGCCAGGGGGGCTGCGTGATGGCGGTTCTGAATTCTGTCATTCCTCTGAATTCTGTCATGATGCCCCGTTCTCGGCCCTGAGGCCAGCGCCCCTGCCCAGCCATGTCCTGGCCTCCCTGTGGCCCCAGAGCAGCCGTCTGCCCCGGGGTGTGCTCTGGCGTTGGTGCCAGGCCGTGGGGTGCCAGGCAGTGCTCCCCATGCTGCATGTCTCCCCCAGGTCGGAGAGGAAGCCCATTTCCCCATGAAGTCCACGTGTCCCTGCAACTTCACCCTGTACTACGAGGTGGCTACGCGGGGCAACATCGTGCTCTCGGGCCAGCAGCCCGCGCCCCTCACCCACCAGAGAAGCAGGCGGGCGGCCCCAGAGACACCCATTCGCTTAATGCACCTTTCGGAGACAGGTGAGCCAGGCCACTGACCGGAGTTCCTTGTTCCTTCTGAACCACTGAGACTGGGGCGAGTCACCCTGGAAAGGAGGGGGAAGCGGGGCTCAGCCCGGAGGGGGTGCCTGCCTCGGAGCGGAGGGCACGTGTCCCGGGCAAGATGGGGCTCGGGCTAGGGGGCGGGCAGTGACCAGCTGCTGGAGGTGGCGAGGTCCTCCCCAGGCTGTCCTCACTGCCTGTCTGCAGGGGGACAGGGGTGCGCTGGCCCCCGTCGGGCTGTGTTGCCATCTGCCAGCCCAGAACCCCTCCCACCTAGGAGTCCTCCTCCTCCTCCCTCTCCTTGACTCCATGTGCTTCTCACGAGACCCACCACCTCCCCTGGGTCTTCCTTAGCCTCCTCTTGCCTCGTAGCCCTTCTGCCTCAAGCAGGATCCCCGCACTGGGCGGGAGGCAGGGGGACACTTGAAGGCAGGCCGTTTGTGGTGGGGCCCTCCTGTGCACGGCAGGGTGTAGGCAGCATCCCCGGCCTCCACCCATTCGGTGCCGGCTGCCGGCAGCAACCTATCCACGCAGTGTGACAACCTAAGAAGTCTCCAGATACTGCCAGTGTCCCTAAGGGGAAAAGTCACCTGCAGGTGAGAATCAGAGATAGATAGATAGGCAGGCAGACAGACAGACAGGGTCCCTCTCATGGGAAGGCAGAGTTTCCCACGCCACGCACTACTAACGTTTGGGGCTGGATCATTCTCCCTGTGCTCTGTAGGGTGCTGAGCCGCATCCCCGGCCCCGCCCACTAGATGCACTCCCAAGTCGCGACAGCCAAAAATGTCCCCTGGGGGGCAGCATCGCGCTGGCTGAGAACTGCTGGCAGGCATAGTGCTTTGGGAATCCTACCCCCGCATCCTTTTGGGCTTCCCTTCCCTTCTAGGTGAAGTAACAGGGGATGTGAGTATCTATGGATCACTTGCCTGGGGCCAGCACCTCCCCCTGCAGTGCCGCATGTCACCCCCAGGGCAGCCTGGGGCATTGGTGGTCCCGTTGTGGGCTGCTGGGTTCTCATGCCTCTCCCCACCTTTGACTTGTCCTAGAGCCCCCTCCTGCCCCAGCAGCCGAGGTCAACGTGTGTGTGACCTCCCTCCGGCTGGCCGTGAGCCCCAGCATGGTCCCCCTGGGCCGCCTGCTCGTCTTCTATGTCAGGGAGAATGGTGAAGGGGTTGCCGACAGTCTCCAGTTTGCTGTTGAGACCTTCTTTGAAAACCAGGTAGAACGTGGGGAGCCAGCGAGGGGAGCGGGGGAGGGGTGGGCAGGCAAGCACCATCCGGGGTGTCTGTGTCCGGGTCACAGCTGCCCCTGGACTTGCAGAGGGTGTCACAGGCGGGACTGTAAGGGCCGCCCTGCCTTCAGGAATAATAGCAACATAAGTCGCATCTTTATGCTCCTCCGAAAGTCCCCCAGAGGGGGATTGCATTAACCCCACCCAGGAAAAGCAGTCCGCTGTTCTCTGTCCCCACTGGGTTCCAGGCCTAAGGGGACACTGCTCCTGTCCCCAGCAGCGGGTTCAACCTTCTGCCCCACCCCGTCCCTGCATCCTTTGAAACTGGCTGCCACATGCCCTCAGCCGGTGCCTGTCTCCCCATCCCTCTCCTCCTCTCCCGTCCTCTGCACAGAATGTTCTAGTTGCCCCGGCCTTGTTCCTGTCACTCTGCCTCCCGCCCTTGTCCTCGCCTGGGCAGCAAGGCCAGGGTCCCCCACTGAGCTGGCGAGGACCAACTCTCGTTGGCAGGTGGAGAGGGTGGGTAGGTCAGTCGGGAGAGGTTGGCCAAACTCCCGATTTCTCCGCTGTGTTTGGGTCCAGGTTTCACTGACGTATTCGGCAAACGAGACCCAGCCCGGGGAGGTTGTTGACCTGCGGGTCAGGGCTGCGAGGGGCAGCTGCGTGTGTGTCACTGCAGTGGACAAGAGCATCTACCTGCTCAGGTCTGGGTTCCAGCTGACTCCGGCCCAGGTGCGTAGGGGCCCTCGGGCGCCAGGGTCCAGCACCTCCACGGGGGGCTCTCGCTTTCCAGTAAGTGAAGGGCCCCATGTGAGTCTAGGTTCTTTCTCTCACGGGTGAACCCAGTCCTGATGGTTGCTTTGGTGAGTTGAAAGATCTTGGGGTCAAATTCATCAGACTCTTGCAATATAACATTGTCCAGGTCCTACCTCTCCAGCCCCTCTGCCCGATGACACCAATGCCCATCCCCCAAGATGGTCTCCAAGTGATATTCATGAAAGGAGGTGGAAATAGGAGCATGCCAGACCCCCGAGAGCCAGTTTGGGTTGACAAGAAACCTCCAGTAGACCGGTCCCTGTTCCCCTTTGCCTGTAGGTTTTCCGGGAATTGGAAGATTATGATGTTTCTGATGCCTTCGGGGCGTCCCGGGAGGATGGGTCCTTCTGGTGGGCTGGACTGGCTGCCCGACGACGCCGGCGCTCCTCCATCTTCCCGTGGCCCTGGGGCATCACCAAGGACTCCGGGTCTGCCTTCACTGTAAGGACAGGTGGTCTAAGACCCACCGCCCCCTTCCAAGTGCCTCTCACTTTGAAACAGACGACCTCGGGGATACAGAGATGGTCGGGGGGACATTTCCAAACTTTTATTGGGGCAGCACTAATTTTTGATTCTCTCCAACGAGAGCTCATAAGTGGACCCTCCCAATTTGCAAGGCAGACGAGGTGTAGAACGTTATGAGTGTCGACTGATAACTTGAACTTGGGACGAAGCAAAGGCATCAAGGGTGCTTTGCTGGAAGGAAAACCTTCACCCTGAGAGCAGACAGCTGCCCACCCCAACATTCGTAGCTCACGTCCATGCTCCTCCTTCCTGGCTGCGGGGGCCAGGGGTCCCAGGGGGTGCAGTAGGTGCGAGCATCGTTCTAGATCATGCCAGGAGCCCACATGAGCAGGCTGGCGGTCTCCACTCGAATGCACCGCCCATTTGTGGGTGCTTTTCATCCCAGTTTTGAAATCATTTAAAATGCATCCTTTTTCTCCTGTTTTTATTATGGAAGACTTTCAGACATACAGAAAAGTTGAACAAATTAACAAACACCTATATACCCACCACCTAGATCCCACAATTAACATTTTGCTGCAGTAGCTAAAAAATACATTACACATCTATATCTGTCTGTATCTGTATTGATACGTGTATCTATATCTGCATTGGAACAGATGACGTTTCAATGACACATTTGTTGAACGCCTGGCAGCTTGAACTGAGCCCTGGCAGCTTTTGGAATTAAGAGGTGATGCCTCTGAGTCCAAGCAACTGACTTTACATTCCTTGTTCCCAAAGCAGAGCGGGGCTTCCCTACAATCGAGTGGCTCCCAGCATTTTTTTTAAAGATTTTATTTATTTATTTGAGACAGAGCGACAGAGAGTGAGCACAAATTGGGGGAGGGGCAGAGGCAGAGGGAGAAGCAGACTCCCCGCTGAGCAGGGAGCCCGAAGTAGGACTCGATCCCAGGACCCTGAGATCATGACCTGAGCTGAAGGCAGAGGCTTATGCGACTGAGCCGCCCAGGCGCCCCGCTCTCAGTATTTAACACAGTGATGAAAGTAGTAACAGTCACGATTGCAGTCATCTGTCTCTGGTCTAGATCAGGCATGGTGCCAACTGATTTTTTTTTTATTGTGAAATTCACAATTAGCAGAAATAACAAAGAAATGAACCATTTTATTCATTTATTTATTTGATAGAAAGAGAGAGAGCACAAGCAGGGGAAGCAGGAGAGGGAGAAGCAGGCTTCCCGCCGAGCAGGGAGCCCGATGTGGGGCTCCGATCCCAGGATCCTGAGATCATGACCTGAGCCGAAGGCAGACGCTTAACGACTGAGCCACCCAGGCGCCCACCCCTATCTACTTTTATTAACATTCTCATATTATTGGAAGCAAATCCCACACATAACATTTTTTTTTTAAAGATTTTATTTATTTATTCATAAGAGACAGAGAGGCAGAGGGAGAAGCAGGCTCCCCGCCGAGCAGGGAGCCCGATGCGGGGCTCGATCCCAGGACCCTGGGACCATGACCTGAGCCGAAGGCAGACGCTTAACCGACTGAGCCACCCAGGCGCCCCAAAATGAACCATTTTAAAGTGGACAGTTGGGTGGCATTTAGGACACTCACAGTGTTGTGCAACAGCACGTCTGTCTAATTCCAGAACATTTTCATGACCTCAAAAGGAAACCCCGTCCCCGTGAGCAGTCACTCCCTCCCCCCTCCCCCCTGGCAACCATGAATCTGCTTTCTGTCTCTGTGGATTTGCCTGTTCAGGATGTTTCACATAAACGGAGTCACACATGTGGCTCTTTGTCCCGAGCCGCAGATGCACTGGTCTCCCCGCCGCTCTGCCCTGCGTGGTCACTGGGTCCCATGATCCCCTCAGCCTGTGTCACCAAGCCCAGAGCAGAGGACTGACCCCCTCAGAGCCACGACACAGCGGTGATGTCGGGCTGGTAGCCCCAAAGTGGTGGAACTGTTGGGGCCATCACATCCGCTTGCCCACCGGGGTTCCGGGCATTGTCTATTGCTTAGGAAACGGGCCTGGTGGTGATGACCGACCTGGTGAGCCTGAACCACCGACAGGATGGCGGCCTATACACGGATGAGGCTGTCCCTGCCTTCCAGCCCCACACGGGAAGCCTGGTGGCGGCGGGCTCCTCCAGACAACCCCCCAGGTAATTGCCGCCTCGAGCAGCGTTGTCTGACCTCATCCTGTGGACACTGGGGGCTGGATCACTCTTTGTGGCGGGGCTGTCCATGCGCAGCGGGTGCTGAGCGGCATCGCTGGCCTCCACCCACCTGATGCCAATAACACCCCTTTCCCCTGGTTGTTACAACCGAAAACGTCTTCAGATATTGCCCAGTGTCCCCCGAGGGCAAAGTCACTACTAACCTAGTGGGCTAGGGAACCGACCACTTCAGCCCCCCTCCTCAGTTCCTGGCCACACTCGAGTGTGTAGGGGGCTGGGGGTGCAGAGGGAGGAAGGTGCATCAGGAGAGAGCTCCCTGGAACAGAGGGTTTGGGGTGGGGAGGGAAGCTGGAGTTTGACCCTCCCTCTCCCAGGGACTGTACTTAGAAAATTCTTTCTATTATCTCTTTCCTCCACCTGTTCCTTCCTCTTCCTTCTCCTCCTCTCTCTTCCCTTTTCTCCTTCAATTCTCTGCCTTTTCAAGTTGGACACTGAGTAACGCTTTTCAGTCTCTTATTTTAACTCTACACATTTAAGCCTTTTGAAGGTTATGAATTTTCCTCAGAATGCTGCTCTGGCAGCTCCTGGGCCGTGCCATGAAGTGTTTCCATTGTTGCTTGGTTCCAAATGGGTGCTAGCTTTCTGAGCTGTGACTTACCCAGAAGTGGACACGTTTTAAACTTTCAAAGTGATATTTTAAATTATTTTTTCATCTGTTTTATAAATTTGTATCAAACATGCATTATGACTGGTGAACGTGGTCTGTATGTTATCCATTGTCTGGTTCTTACTTTGAAGGCTTTTTGTGTAGCCAGTTTTTGTAAAGGCTTGTGTCTTCTTGAAAAGAAGATCCCAGCCCCCATCAATTCGGTACAAGGCTCTGTATGCATACTTTAGGTCAAGCCTATTGATGGGAATGCCCAAATCCTCCATATTTTTGCTCACTTCTTGTTTGTCTGTTTGCTAACTTATCGATGACTGAGGGAGACGGGTTCACATCTCTCCCTTAGATTTGTGGCTTTGTCCCTGGAGTCCTGGAAAACTTTGTTTCACAGGAGGTGGTGTTTTTCTCCTCTCTCCTGTCTCCCCTCCCTTCTCTCCCACCCCCTTCTTCTGCTGCCTGTCTTACTCCCTTCTCAAGCCCAGCTCTCAGCCAGCTAGCTGGGGAAGGGAGAGTGTTCTGAAGACCGTGGCTCTCCACTCTTTCTGGCTTTAGGGGCTGGCATGGGGGAGGCAGGCCTTGGCTTTACTCCCTCCTGCCCACTCCTCCAAGAGGGACTCAGAACCAAGGGGCTGGGGCTGGGGTCTGTGTGGTCAGTAGTGCCTCAGGATCTGGTCTCTCTGGAGACCTTCAAGGTGGGCCCCACACTCCTCAGCCTTTGTGCTGAGCCAGAAGTGGCCCAGGGGACCTCCCGCCCTGGCAGGCCTGTCCACAAAAGCCCTCTCCATCTTTCACACCCTTTCTGTCTAGATTGAGATTCCTGGATACTTTGTTCTCCTGGGTTCTTCCTGCCTGGGCTGCACACTTAGCAGGAGTGTGGCAGGCCCTCGAGGGTCCTAGTTTCTAAACTCCAAATCATGGCGTGGGCAGACCAGGCTCCCCACTGGGTACTTTGGAGGCATACGGAGGCATTTCTAGCGTGTGGTTGGGTGAGGGCCTCCACCCACCAGACACCGCCTCGGGGGCCCTGACCCTGTCATGTGCAGGAACCCCAAGAGCTTGGCCTGGAGTGGGTATGAAAGTAATTTTCTGAAACCCCAAACCACGAAGGCAATTGTAAATCCCAGTGCAGAGAGAGGCATAAGACATGCCTTTAAAAGGAAGTGTCCCTGCCTTTTTGTAATTGGTTCACACATCCATATCCTGAGGACAAGATCTTTTCTTAACCATATGCAGTGGTTAAAGTTTTTTCAAGCAGTGTGAAAGTTTTTGTAATTAAATGTAAGTCTCTCTCCTGCCTCTACACCCTCCATTCCCTTGTTTAGTGGCAACCATGGTCAATAATTTCTTAGATATCCTTCTAGAAATTTTCTGTGCATATACAAGGATTTTTTAAAAGATGTATTTATTTTAGAGGAGAAGGAGAGCACGAGCAGGAGGGGCAGAGAGAGAGGGAGAGAGAATTCCAAGCAGACTCAGTGCTCAGCACGGAGCCTGATGCAGGGCTCGATCCCAGGACCCAGAGATCATGACCTGAGCTGAAACCAAGAGTCGAATGCTTAACTGACTGCACCACCCAGGTGCCCCTAAACAAGGATTAAAAAAACAAAACAAAACAATGAGAGAACACTATAATACTGTTCCAGGCCTTCCTTTTTAAAGTCAACAATAAGTCTTGGAGACCAACCCATCTCAGTATACCTGCACTGACCTCACTCTGCTAGACTGGCATGTAGCATCCCATGGCATGAATGTGCTACCAGCTGATTAACCCAGTCACCCTCTTGATGGAGATTTTTGGCTGTTTGCTGCCACGAACCAACCCATTTTTCTGTCCTGGCACCTGTGTCCATGGGTATTTCCAGGGTGCATTCCTTGGAGAGATACTGCAGTTTGAAAGGATGTGAGCATTTTTAATTTTGAGAAGTTTTGCCCAATTTCAAGTAGGGCTTGTTTTTAATTATTATTTTTATTTTTAAAGATTTTATTTATTTATTTGTCAGAGAGAGAGAAATTGAGTACAAGCAGGGAGAGTGGCAGGCAGAGGGAGAAACAGGCTCCCCGCTGAGCAGGGAGCCCAATGCAGAGCTTGATCCCAGGACCCTGGGATCATGACCTGAGCCAAAGGCAGATGCTTAACCCACTGAGCCACCTAGGCGTCCCATCATTATTATTATTTTTTTAAAGAACAAGACAGTCCCTGAGGAAGGTGGGGTGTGAGGCTCCTGAGGATGAACCCGAATGGAAGGTGCTCTTTAGGAAACAGGGAGGGCTGGGGGGTGGTGGTGGATAGCTCAATGTGATGGTACAGAAAAACATGGCAAACCCAGAGGGGGGAAATTAGCAAAGGGGAAGACATGGCGGGGGGGGGGTGTCCCTGTGACCCTTCTTACCTTCTAAACTCAGGTTGTGAAGTGCCACTGTTGAGTTAAAGTGATTCTGTCAAACCTTTGATGCATCACTTCTATGAGTCCTCATCAAGTAGAATGTTAACCCTGCCAGGTGAAAGAACTAGAACTAGCACGCTCTGTCCTAATCAAGTAGAGTGTTAATTGACAGCCAAGAGAATTAAGCCACGACACCTAACTGAGTCCAATGTTAACCTTTACAGGTAAGACTTACTATGTTACGTTCTACTTGGGTAGAAGTTTACCTGCCAGGTGACAGAATTAAGGTATGCCCCATGACACTTTCTCATTTCTTCTTTAATTTTTCATAGAGCAGAGAAGACGAAAAGGACCTTCTTCCCCGAAACATGGATTTGGCGTTGTCTGAACATCAGGTACAGTGAGCTTTTTTTTTTTTTTTTTACAGTAAGATGCCGTTTCTTCGCTGTGTTTGCGGTCTGACTCAGAGGCACTCAGGCAAATCTAGATCGTTCCCAGTGGGTTTGCTTTCAGATCTGACATCAGCATCTGAGTCAGACTTTGGGCATCCTTTTCCAACACATAAAACTCAACACCATGAAGTCAGCCCCAAATCCCGCTGCGGCCTCGGACATCTGCTCAGGAAATATGAAATGCAGGGTCTTTGTGCCTCTTATGACTCCCACTTGGGGTAACTCTATCCGCTCTGTTTGCATAACGAGCTCATTAAAACGATTACAGTTCCCTGGAACATGAACTTGACCCCGCCCCCCCACGCCTCCCTCACTCCTCAGGGGCCTCGGGCTCCTGCCCACAAAACAGACTGCTTTTCTCAGCATATTTCCTTTCCACGTTCCCCCCCACCACCTTTTCAGTTCTTTCTGAAGAAGCCCTGCTGTGCCAAATTCCTGCCAGATGCTGTTGGCTTTTTTTTCTTTCAATGCTTGGTGACAGAATACCAATGGTACTAGTAGAAGGTCATGGTGGTCTGCCCTGGGAAACTAGTTAGGCAGGAAAGATCAGATGCCCCCCGGGCCGTGGGTGGGCTTACTGCTGAGCTGGGCCCCACTTCCAGACACAAGATGCCATGGCACGCCATCATCACAGAACTGAGCTCCCAGCTGGCGGCTCCTCAGCCTAAGGATGTGTGTGTCCCCATTATGGGAAGACTTAACTCCTGGTCAGAACAGATCCAGATGACTGCGTTTCATTCTAGGGGTCTAAATCTAAGATGGGCTGTCTGTCTGTTACCATTCAAATGTACCAAATGTATCTATTTTTTCTGGGGGCCAGATGTTTTCGGTGCCGGGTAATGTTTTGGGTACCAGGGTTGGCACCTTGAACAAGGTGGACACTCAGGTTGCTTCCACCTTTTGGCTATGATAAATTACTCTGCTGTGAACACAGGTGTGCAAGTATCTCCTTGAGACCCCTCTTGCAGTTCTTTAGGGTGGATACCCAGAAGTGGAATTGTTGGCTCATATGGTAATTCTGTGTTTAATTGTTTGAGGAACCGCCATCCTGTTTTCCACAGAGGCTGCACCATTTTACACACCCGCTAACAGTGCACAAGGATTCTTCTTTGAATATTTGATAGAATTTGGGGCACCTGGGTGGCTCACTCGGTTAAGCGTTCGACTCTTGGTTCCGGCGCAGGTCATGATCTCAAGGTTGTGGGATCAAGGGATGCGGGAGCCCCACATCAGGCTCCATGCTCGGCTTGGAGTTTGCTTAGGACTCTCTCTTCCTCTCCCTCTGCCCCTCCCCCTCCCCCCTAAAATAAATAAATAAATCTTTTAAAAAATTTTTTTAAATGTTTGTTAGAATTCACCAGTGAAGCCATCAGGTCCAGGGCTTTTCTTTGTAAAGAGATTTTTGGTTATTGATTCAATCTCCTTGCAGGTCTGTTCAGCTCTAGGTCTGTTCAGATTTTGGTTTTCTTTATAATTTGGACTTGATTGGTTTTGCATTTCTAGGAATTTGCCCATTTCATCTAGATTATCCAAGTTCTTGGTGTACAATTGTTCATGTATTTTTTAATAATCTTTTTATTTCTGAGAATGGGTAGTAATGTCCCCACTTTCATATTTTAGTAATTTGAGTCTTCTCTCTTTTTATCCTTTGTCTAGTTAAAAGCTGGTCAGTTTCATTGATCTTTTCAAAGAACCAACTTTTGGTTTTGTTGATACTCTATTATTTTTCTGTTCTCTATTTTAGTTATCTCTGCTCTAATCTTTATTATTTCTTTCTGTTAGCTTTGGGTTTAGTTTGTTTTTCTTTTTCTAGTTCTTTAAATTGTGAAATTAGGTTGTTTATTTGAGATCTTTCTTCTTTTTTAATAGGTATATAGCTATAAATTTCCCCCTTAGCACAGCTTTTGCTGCATCCCATAAGTTTTGATATGTTATGTTTTGTTTTCATTCATCTCTGGGTATTTTAAAATTTCCTTTGTGATCTCTTCTTGGATCCATTGGTTAATTAAGAATAAGTTGTTTAGTTTCCACAAATGTGCAAATTTTCCAGTTTTCCTTTTCTTACTGATTTCTAACTTTGTCCCATCATGGTCAGAGATGATACTTTGTATGATATCTACCTTTTAAAATCTACTGAGACTTCCTCTGTGGCCTAATACATGGTCTGTCTTGAAGACTGTCTCATGTGCACTGGAGAAGAATGTGGGTGCTGTTGCTGGGTAGAGTGTTCTATGAATGTCTGCTGGATCTAGTTGCTTTATTGTGTTAAGTCTTCTACTTGCTTACTTATCTTCTGTCTGGTAGTTCTGTTGTTCAGAGTGGAACATTGAAGTCTCCCAACTATTACTGTAGGGCTATTTATTTCTTGCTTCAGTTCTGTCCATTTATGTATGTATATATCTCAGTAGTCTCTTATTAGGTGCACACATGTTCATAACTGTTATATTTTTTTTGTTGTACTGAACCTTTTATTAACATATAATGTTCTTCTTGGTCTCTTGTAGCCTTTTTGTACATAATGTCCATTTTGTGTGCTCTCAGGATAGCTGTACCTGCTCAATCTTGGTTACTACTGACCTGGCATATCTTTCCATCTTTTCACTTTCAACCTATTTTTGTCTTCAGAGCTAAAGTGAGTCTTTTGTGGACAGCAGATAGGTCATGTTTTTTAATTAACTCTGTTGATCTCTGCTTTTTGATTGGAAAGTTTAATCCATTTACATTTAATGTAATTACTCATAAGGAGGGCCTCAC